CCCCCCAGTTGTTTTCTTCTTTCTGGGTAAAACAAAAACAAAAACAAAAGCCCAGTTGCCATCAAGTTGATTCCAACTCAAGGCAACTCCATGTGTTTGATAGTAGCATTATATGCCGCAAGGTTTCCACAAAGCTGGTTCCTATGAAGTGGAGGTTCACGATGAAGTGAAGGTTCACAATGGCCCAGATACCCAACTTTTCCAAACTGCTGTACTCTTCCTCCCTTCAGTCCTCTTCCTTCCATCCTTGGGGTCTGCGATCTGCAGCAACATCTCATAGAACTCACGGACGATCACGGCTCACAACGTTGTGGAGGCTGGCAAGTCCCAAGTCTGTGGGTCAAGTGGCAATCTGGAGACTTCTGACTCGGGTGGCCACAGGGGCTGACAAACTCAAATGGGTAGATCAGATTTCAGGTTCTTGGCTCAAGTTCCAAGAACCAGAGACCAGAGGATGTGGAGCCAGATGCAGGACCTAGGCTAAGAGAAAGAACTTGGCCAGAGCATTCATGTGCATCACACACACCAGGGGGTACGTCCATCAGTGACTGAGAAACCACAGTATCCTGAAGGGGAAAAATCTGTGATGTGGAACCAGAGTCTTCCTCCATGTCCTCTCCCCCAGATCCCCTAGAGAAGCATAGGAGTCTGTTAAGTGGTGATCCCCTGATCGTTCCCGTCATGTTAAACGTGAGCAAAAACTCATAAAGGCATGTGAGTCAGCCTTTCATGTCTTTATCCGCCCCTCCCCACTCATTTCAGAAACAAATATTTTAATTGCCCATCCCAATTTTTTTTATCACCATGAGTGATGCTCAACCTAGTGTGTTCAATTAATGTTTCTTGGCCCACCGATGCACCCTGTGGCCTGTAAGGCATGTCCCTTCATCTGAGTAATGTAAGTTGATTGCCTAAATTGGTACAGGGTCTTTTGTTCCAATCCCTCAATGGTGTTTTGGGCATTTCGTCTTTCACTAGAGATGCAAAGCCCAGGCCAGAATAAGCTCTTGGGAGGAAACCATTTGCAGCCACTTGGTGCCTCTGGCATCATTGGTCCACGATATCGACTTTCCAGCTAGGCGCAGGGCCTGGCCCCAGAGAACAGCCCTCCGCTTGTCTCTAGCTGCACTGCTGATGGACAGAGCAGTCCTAGTTAGCATTCTGTGCCTCAGAGGTGCATGAGGCATGTGTCTAGATTCAACCTATCTCTGCTTTGCTGCACTATGTCCATGTCTGCTCATTTCATGGACCCAGCTGGTCACCTCAAGTCCCTGTACCAATTGTACCACTTGCTGATTCCAATCACCTTCCAATCCAAGAAAGAGATTCTTGTGCTGCGCATCAACATGCCTTATTCAAATGTACCCTCTCAATTCCCAGAATGCTTTCTAAAGGTTCATCCGCCAATAGTCAGTTCTCCAGTGTCCATTTGCCTGACCGTAAGGCCAGGGATGAAATGGTAAAAAAATCAAACATGTGGGCTCTCACCATTACCCAATTCTTCCATCACAACTAGGGAAACAGGGGGCACTGTAATCCATCGAACTGACCTGCGCTTAGCTTCTTCAATCAAGGTCTTCCCCTGGACTGGTTTAAATGAAGCAGCTTTCCACATCAAATGCTGCCCATGTAACCCGGAACTGCCATTCTATGAATCCAGCAGCCTTCTGCTGGCCATCAGGAAGTTGTCCATACAGCATCACCCATGTGGCAATGTGCTCTGAGGAGAGCTTCTCAGAGGGTTCCCAGAGTAGGACTTCTTGGGAAAGAGGCTCCCCGTGTCTGGGTGTGGTGGCTGCCTCCTTGCGTTCCCCTAGTAGATTGTTCCCCTATGAACCATTTCCATTTCATTCTGGATTTACTTCAGCCACCCCTACCTTATTAGACGGTTTTATTGACATCACCCAAGATTTGTGGGCTTTTTCAGAAGTAGATGGCCAGGCCTTTCTTTGGAGGCACTGCTGAGTGGACTTAAGCCTCCAGCCTTTTGGTTAGCAAGTGGGGGCATTAGCCATGGGTGCCGCCCCAGGGACACCTCCTCCTGTACTCTGTGCATGTTATTTGCTCTGTGGCTGAACAAAGAAAGTCCCAGGCTGTGTTTTCTGTTTTCTGTAGACAGATCAGTCTTACCGAGAAGATGTGTTTGATCTCTTTCCCGGGACCTTCCAAACCATCGAACTGTATGCGGATCACCCAGGGACGTGGCTGCTACACTGTCATGTGTCTGACCACATCCACGCTGGCATGGAGACGACCTACACGGTCCTCCGGAACCTAGGTACTGTTGTTGGTCAGTGATGCTGGGTGCAAGTGCCAGGCTTCCTGTAGACCCCAAAACAGGGAACACAAGGTAACACCACTCTCAGAGGACCTCCAAGGAACTCAGGGTCATGTGTAAATGTGAAACCATATAGAATGATAGGTGCCATGACAGAGTACAGCGTTTCAGGGTTCAGAGGCAGTGGAAGGAAGAAGTGGCTAGCAGTCTGGAGAGAGGAGCCAAGCCTTCTCAGAGGCCAGAAGGCTTGAGTGGATGGTAATGGATGCACAGCAGGTTGAAAGGTGAATGGGGGGTAGAAACAGCAAGGGTTCTGGTGTGAGACACAATAGTGAGAGTCCAAGAAAGATCTGCAGATACTGGTGGGGTAGCCTCCTCCCTGGAGACCTGGAGTAATTCCCGAAACAACTCATATCCTGAAAAAAAATGTGCTCTGCTTGTTTATTCACCAATCACCGTGTCTCTTCTGTGTCCAGACAATATGGTCCCGTACTCTACCAAGTCTCCTTCGGAAGAAGAAGCTCACCCGGCCCCTGTGCCCTCTGATCCCTCTGATGGTAATGCTGCCCTCCTCTTCTGCACACTGCATGCCAATGCCCAGACATTCCATTCCTTGGAGAAAGGCAGAGGGTCTTGTGCCCCATGTTTCTTTGTAAATGTCTGTGGTAAGCTATAGGAGAGGGCTTCCCAGAGTTTGTAGAGAAATGGAATGAAATATCATGGAAAATATCCATGAGCTGTCTCAGAGTGAAAGCACCCTCTGGGGAGTACTGGAAAGATCCAGCGGGGCTGCAGAAGCAGATTCCTGCACTTGATCCTGGTTATAGGTTATAGCACAGACTTTTTACATATATATATGGGTATGTATATGTTTATTATTTCCAAACTCTTTTATTAGCTAAGCCAGACATTATACCATCCCATAGTTCAATCATATCAAGTTGTGTTGTACAATTGCTACCACAATCAGCTCCAAAAACATTTTCTTTCTTCTTGAGCTCCTTGATATCCGCTCCTCTTAACTCCCCACCTTCCTCGCCACATCGCCTGGGAAACTTTATCCTACTTATTGTCTCTCTAGATTCACTTAACCTGTGTTTTATATACCAAAAACACACAGAAAAACTCTTAACGTAGAGTCAAGATGGCTACCAACAATGACAAAATACAACAGACAAAACCCCAATATGGAAAAAACAAAAAGCAGAAAAGATTAAAACCTAGATCTGGCACCAAGAGATCAAGTGACAAGTTTTAACCATTCAAGTCAGGCTTACCATTTTAATCTACTATCATCACCTCTCCAATACGCTCTGTCTGATCACCAGGTTATTCCCATCCCTCGATTGTGGTTAGAGGAAAATCACCGGAGAGAAATCACCAGAGGCTTACTCCCTGAGTAGATACCCAAAAATGTGTTTTGGGCTTCCACTGTCATTCATAGCCCTCTGCACACCATAATCTCACAATTTAAGCTCTGATGCTATTCCCTCCTCTGGAGTTGGATTATATAATTCACAATCCTTGGATCTCGGATGTTGGTGTGCATCTTCCATGTGAGCTTAGTTAATGTCCAACTTGGATGGCTGCTTGTTTCATAGCACTGAGGTTTTTAATTGCCAGGGGGTGCTGAGTAATTTTTTTTTCCTGTAAAGGAAGCAGTAGGTGAAATACATTTGGGAACCTATGGTGTTTAACATAACATTCTCCATGTTCACTATTCACTATCAACAGCATTGATCACATTCACTGGACTGGGCAACCATCTCCAGGATCCATTTTCAAATCTCTTGATCACCCTCCACCTCCCCTTTCTTTCCCACAGAAGAACCCAATAAGGAGAAGCTTTTTTTCTTCGGCAAGAACCTGGGTCCCAGAGGAGCCAAAGCAGCCTTGGTCATCCTTTTCATCATCGGACTCATCCTCGTGATGGCCACGGTGACCCTCTCTCTCCGGCTCCACTCTCTGAAGAGGCAGGTGGCATACCAGGTGGTCCAGTCCTGCGCTCTGCCCACAGATGCTCTGTGAAGGGTCTGGTCTTTCTCAGACGGGCAGGGGTGAGGTTCCATAGCCGGACGGCCCAGGGCAGCTAACAGGGACACTGGACCACAGCAACTGCGTTCACCAGGAAAGGTTGACACTGTTTTCAGGATCAGGCTGATCCTCTGGAACGTAACGCAAAGCAATTTGTTTTCATGCATTTCTGGAAATGGGCTGTGATTAATCCTCAGGTACAGAACATGGAAAAGGGAGACTGGGCCTGAGCAAGGCCAACTCATCCTCTCTTCTCTGCATTAGTTCACTGAAGTAGGTGCACCCTTTGAAAGAGACCTTTACTACCCATTTTTTCAAACCCTTGAGATTAGACATCGTTTTCTATGTAAGCCATCAACGTTTCCACGTGAAGTGGCACATGGGGGGCTCGGTGGTGGAATTCTAACCTGCTCATGTTTCCAAGGTGGACAACTTGTGGGGAGAGTTAGAAGGCCCCAGCCAACTAATTGGAGGCCCCCAGGTGTCTTTTAACATTGCTACGTAAACTGTTCCCCCAAGTCGTTCCAGAGAAAAGGACTTTCTAAGGAGTCCATGAAAATATCGAAGTTAATGTTGACAGAATTTGACAAAGTGAATTCTTAACCAGCTCTCCTGGCCATTCCCCTTATCCATAGTCTATGCACTGTTTGTTACAAAAGGTATTTTTTAAAATTCTTCAACATTGAAAACATCCTTTGCTGCTGTTTTTATACAAACCTGTACTGATACTTGAATGTTTACAACTCACTTCATGTTATGTGTTTTTACAATATGTTTCTATAGCGATGTCTGAATTTTCCCCCAAAATGACTGGAGAGTTTGTATTTTCATTTCAGGAATCTGTGAGCCAGCAGGCTCCGATCCCCCACTGGGAGTCAGGGAGTTCTCTGAAACACTAGTGGGGACTTCTGATGGGGAGGGCAGCTTTTCTGAAAGAAAGGCCAGAAATGGAATTGAGCCGGGCTTTGCATTCAGTTGGGTGGGTCTTTTCAAGTTTCCATCTCCTGTGAACTAAAAGCAGTCTCAGCACATGAGAAACACGGGGGGAATTCACCGACACACAAACAGCCCTTTATTGGAGGAAAAGACAAGGAAAGGCATAGGAAGGAGGAATGGCTTGGAAAAGAGATTCCTGGGCAACAGCACCTCAAGCCTGGAATCAGCTCTGAAAATAAAAATCGAAGTTTTCCAAGCCCAGGCGCAAACATGAAATCCTGGACAATAAAACTCAGTCCTCTACCGGGCAATCTGCACCCTCTTTACAGCATGCCCACGGCTCAAGTCTGCGGTTGATAAAAGCAGCATTGTTGATTAGTCGATTGAGAAATGCAGTCCCCTGCGACGGCGGCAGGCCAATGAGGATGGGGCCGCTGCCTTTGCCCTGGGCCACTTGAACTTCCCGGTGAACAAAGAGGACCTCAGACAAACCCTGGTGGGGTGGAACCTTTCCTACTTGCTCATCTTTATCTTGGTGATGGGAAGAGGGTAACTCGATAGAAGCGACTGTCTTACAGAAAACCGTATTCAATTGCTATTACTTCTTTCATAGTTCGCTTGAATGTCATTATCAAACAGGGAACCCAAAGGTTTTTGCCATCCAGCCTGCCACCCACTCGCCATGTGATCGTCTAGTATGTGCTAGGCAGTTTTCATGCACGTGGAGGCCGTATTTTTACATACTAATGTAATGGTTATGATGGTTATACATTCCTAATTAATTTTGATCAGCCATTGCCCTTGAGTTGATTCTGATCCATCGTGACCTGGCAGGACAGCGTACAACTGCCTCACAGTATTGTCAAGGCTGCAAAACTTTCTGAGGCCCCAGCTTTCTTCTGAGGCATGGTTGGGGGCTTGAACAGCTGACTCTGTTAGCAGCCGAGGGCTTCACCGCCACACCGCCAGGGTTCCTCCTTATTTCTAACTCATCTTTAGTAAGACCCCGCATTATTTAGTTGTAAGTTTTTCCTTTTTCCTTAGTTTTTAAAAAAAATGAAAACAAAACCATGAAGTAGTTTTCACCCTTTCTCTGTTTAATAAAGTTTCACATGTTATAAATGGCCATTTTCATGGTTTCTTTTCGTTGTTAGTTAGCATCGGGTGGCAACTTGTGGCTACCAAACAGTGCTTGCCGCCCCCCGCCCCCCCAAAAATTGTTGGTGTGATTGAGTGCATGGTGGCAGCCTCTGTGTGTTCTGAGCATCTTCCAGCATCAGGGCTCATATTCCAGCACTCGATTAGGCAAGACGCTCTTGTGATCTGCAGGGTTTTCATTGGCTAATCACTGACGATTATCTATCACTAATCTAGAGAGGTTATGGCTGGTAAAAGAATGATGTTTCAGAGATGTAGCAACTACCCCAGTTATAAGTACTAAAGGAAACAATACAAGACAGTCTCTTCCTACATAGGGTGACTTCTCAAATGTTTCTTGAACCATACCACATTCCTTTGTCCCCTGCCTCACTTCTCTGAGAAAACCTAACCTACCTTCCTTTGTGAGCATCCTTTCCTCTCGTTATCGTGGAAGAAGCCTCTCTGCTTCTATCGGGGACAGTCTCTACTTGGCTCTAGACCCCATTCCTTCTTGCTTTCCTAAGGACTTCATTCTTACAGTTATCACTTTTATCTCCTGCATCATTTTCTGATATCCTTAGCAATGCCCACCACTACAACCAGAAAGCAAACGAAAAACCTCTCCCTTAATGCCATGATCCCCTTCAACCCAACTTCTCTGTTCTCTTTGATAGCAAACCTTAGAAGTCATCCCCACTTGCGCCTATACCACATCACACTACATACATTTCTTCTACCCATTCCAATGGTTTCCAGTCCTGGTGCTCTGCCCCCATGTCCCAATCTGTTGTTAAGGTCACCAACCATGCTGCCGTCTGCACAGGCTTCTCTTCCACCTTTATCTTACTCAGCAGCAATCGATACTTCCGCCCTTCTCGATCCCCTCTAGTCTTTTGGCTTTCGCAACAAGACCCTCGGCCACTCTCCCTTCCTCAGCTGCCAGTTTGTTGTTGTTGTTTATTAGCTCCTTCTCCTCTGTCTGACCAATAGATATTGACATGCCCCAGGGTAGGCTAACTTATGAACCCCAAAGATAGACAGGCCTCATCTAAGAACCTGTGGATGTTGACTTATGTAATAAAGGGGACTTTGAAACTGTCATCAAGTTAAGGATCTTGAGATGGAGGGATTATTCTGGGTCATCAAGTCGAGCCTCAAATATATAAATAGTTCAAGTGTCCTTCTAAGAGGCAAGCAGAGGGAGCCTTGACTACCAAAGGAAGAGGCCACGTGATGACTGAGCGAGATACTATAGCATGTTTTCTAAAGTGCATGAAGTCACCACAAGCCAAGGAATGCAGTTTTAGAAGGTGGAAAGACAGAGAAATAGATTCTTCTCTAGAGCTTCTCCAGCAGCAGTTCTCAACCTGTGGGTTGCAACTCCTTTGGGGGTCGAACAACCCTTTCACAGGGGCTGCCCGATTCATAACCGTAGCAAAATCACAGTTATGAAGTAGCAAAGAAAATCATTTCATGGGTGGGGGTGGTCACCACCACATGAGGAACTGTATGAAAGGCTTTAGGCAGGTTGAGAACCACTGTTCTAAAGGGAGCATGGTCCTGCCGACACCTTGATTGGGCCAGTGAAACTAATGTCACACTTCTGACCTCCCGAATTTAGGAGAATGAAGGTGTGCCATCGGGTTTGTGGTAAATTATTACTGCCCTCTCCATGGGCTATTTTACCTGTCCTCAGGGATCTGCGAGCCAACTTTATGCCAATACATTCAAAATGTGTTTTGTGCTGACCTTGAGCTTCTGACTCACAACTCTTGCAGAGCAGGAGCTGCAACAATCCCCTAACCAGGCTCCCCATTGTCACTTGTGTCCCTTCCATCCACTGCCCACAGCAGCAACTTTTCTTAAATATGCAAATCTGACATAGTTTCCCTGCGTACTACCCTTTAGTGTATTTCCATTTCACTTTGAATAAATCCAAACTCCTTACCTTGATTTAAAAACCAGGCTGATTTGACCTATGCTCACTTCTCCAACTCCTTCTCAATATCTTCCCTGCTTCAACTTTTATCATTTCCTATGTTCAGCTGGTTCTTTCTTGCCTCAGGACCTTTGCACCTGCATCTTTCTACACCTGTCGCGCTCTTTCTTTAGCCCACCATGTCCTGACCAACGCTTTTGCCTCATTCACATCTGAGCTACCCAGACACTTCTGTTTAAAGGGGGACCATCCCTCTGCCTGTTACTTCCCATCTAGTGTCCTTTGTAACACTTAACACAGGACATAAGGGTGAGTTTTGTCTGTCTCTTCCACTGGAATATAAGTTCCGGGAAGCAAGGATGCCTGACCTCTTTGGCTCCCTGTTACATCTCCAGCACAAAGCTTAGTGCAGATACATACTGGTTGCTCAGCAAATATTTTTCGGATGAATGAATGGAAATGCAAACAGTAAAACACCGAGTATTTCCAATGTGCCAGGCACTGTACACATCCCAACTCTTCCTCAGATGGCCCTGGTAGGAGACAGGTAGCATTATCCTTATTTGGCACATGAGGAAATCGAGGCTGAGATTCCCAAGAACATGTGCTTTGTTCCACAATAAGTAGGGGATAGATGCAGGGCTCAGCCAGGTTCTTGGTGGGAAAGGGCGCGTGTAATGAGAAGGGAAAACGACTGGTGCTGAGGTTTGAGAGGATGAGGCAGAATATGAGCTCCCCGTCCTGGGAGACATCCGGGCGCAGAGGTGGGTGGGCTGTGGGATGCGTGCTGGGAGCTGAGACCAGGGCGGATGTGCGAGACCACGGCACACGGAGGGCTTCTGTGGCTGCACACGAGTCCTCCTCCCGGCATAAAGAGCAGAGAAGGCAGCCCTCATGTCTGCTCTCCATGTGG